AGTGTATTCGTGGGCAACATCACAAATTATGAGTATAAGCCAGGCTTGTTAAATGAAAAATACGGTGAATGGATTTGATAAGTCATGGTTGATCTTGATCGACTTCGGGGCGTCAAAAAAATTTGTCCTTCTTCTTTTCCTAGAAGGAAGTCAGCAGCATGCTAAGGTGCTAAAAGCGCGAAAGTATGAGAATTTCACTGTTCGCTTGGCGACAGGTGCATTAGTCACTATGCGTAAGGTTACTGTGAGCTTTGGCGTTAAGTTTTCGGAATCTGACAGTATCGAACGCTGTTTAGTCCTTGAATTGGAAGGGAGGTGTAATCTCATCCTTGGTAAGGCTTGGCTAGAACGCCATGGGCTAATTGGATGTCAAAGACCTTAGTCGGAACGAGCACTGTTCCCTGTGGATATCTGGACATGAGCCCACCTCTGCTAAGAGACAAAAGTGATATTGGCACGAGCCACGGACTGAGACAATAAGCGTGCTGGATATCGATCTGGCTGAACTTATTGAGCTGGACGTTTTAAGAACATTTGGTTGCGGGTCAAGCCCAATGACTGTCGGTGAAATGGAACGTAATCCGTCGAGTAATAATCGTTTAGGCAACTGATCACTACATGATGAAAGCATTGTTGGCCTAGAGCCAAGTCATCGTGGGCTAAATACATCTCATGAGGGCGGAGAGGCACGTAAGAACTCACTGCGTGATGTTGGCCGTGATTGCGACACACTTAATGTCAGCCAAGACCTTTTTAGCAAAACACCAAGTTATTAAAGGCAACGCCCATTTGATGAGCGTGAAATGGCACGTAAGTACCCACTGGAAGGTAATCTCACTGGAGGTGATTCATCACTAGATGTAGGTATTGGCATCGTATCGGAAATGGTGTGCATTAAGGTTGACGCAGCTCGTCACCTTGGGGACACTGTCGTCCCAGATGTTGGCAATGACATCGGCCCTGATATTAATAAATTTAAGGCTGACGCAAGTGGGAACGGTATAGCCCCGGATGTCGGTAAGCACGTCAGCTCTGGAAATGATCAACTTAAGGTTGACGGTCATGTCAATCTTAGGGACATAGATGCCCCGGGTACCGGTAATGACACCTGCTCTTGTATCGAGCAAGAGAAGGATGATGATGATGTCAACCTTAAGAAAGAGAAAGTTCCAGTCTTTTTGAGACGTTTAGTCTCGTCACAAAGACGACAGAGACGCCAGATTGCTGCTATGCAACGCAAGGCGTATTTGCGTTACCGATTGATTCTAGAGTGCAGCTTTATACACTCGTTTATGGAGTGACTGGTGATGCAGATGGGTCAGTGAGTCTTGAGATTCTGCCCTCATAGAATTCTATGTCAGAGCTAGACGAAATGTCTGTCGATGAGTTTGGCCTGACCTTAAAATTCAGGCAATTTATCTGAAGTGACAGTCAATAGGCCCGATGGTGAGTTGAACTCGCCGTCACTTCTCGACGAAGCTTATTTAAAAGACACAAAGGCGAAATTGAGTGCTCGAAGTAGGTTGTCGATCTTAGAAGATCCTAGATACTTGTTTCATCAATTAATTAAGGAGTTTCAGGAGGTAGTGTGTCACAATCAACCTTCCACTCTTCCTCCTGATCGAGGTGAACGTCATGAAATAGAATTGATTACTGGAACCAAATACTATGTGACACGGCAATGGCCCCTACCAAAGAAGCGGTGTGACGTCATTGACGAGTTATTCCGGGCAAAGCACGCGGCTTGAAAGGTGCGTGAGAGCAAAACCCCGCATCCAACATCGACAGTTTGTGTCAGAAAGCCTAGTGGTAAGTAGCGTATTATGCATGCTTATAATAATCTTAACGCAGCCAATATACCGGAACAGACGCCTATCTCTAGAAAGGATGTTCTCCAGAACGCTATGTTGGGTTGTACCATGTTCAGTACACTCGACTTGGTCGATGGGTATTACCAATCGATCATGCGAGCGAGTGTTATAACAATCACAGCGGTGAGTACGCCGAGTGACATGCTTTTGGAGTGGCTTGTTATGCCATAAGGGATATCTAACGCCCCTGAAACATTTAGTCGTCTCGTGACGCAGTTGTTTCGACCTCACCGAGGATATGCACAAAGATATTTCGATGACATCTTTGTCCATAGCCGTGCAGACCATGGAGGTCAGATGTGGAGAACCAAATTGACCATTTACGATCAGTGCTTGAGTACATACGTACAAGCAAGCTGTGTGCAAATGCATCGAACTTCTTTTTTTTTATGCAGAAGAAATTCTCTTTCTTGGGTGCTTCATTGGAAATGTGGCCTTTTAGCGGATCACGCTAAGATAAATTCGTGGCTGACTGGATGATTCTGTTGAGCCAAAAGAACTTGAGATAATGGCTCAGTTTGGCCAATTACTTGCACAAGTACAGTGCAAATTACGCTAATATGGCAAGGCCATTACCAACCTCCTTAAGAAAGATGCAGTTTGGTGTTGGGACACAGTTTAGGCTCAAGCATTTGGAATTATCAAGGAAAGTCTTCTTCATGCCCCAATTTTGGTTTTGCCTGACCCTGGGTGGCCTTGCAGTGTCTTCTGTAATGCATTCTATTTGGCTATTGGTTGTAAAACATTGCAGACAGATGTCAATGAACATGAGCGCGTCATTGTGTATGAATATCGACAGCTCAAGGCTGCAGAAAAGAACTACTTGTTTGATGACACAGAGCTACCCACAACGTAAAATGCTCTGGTTAAGTTCAAAGTCCACCTGCTTGGCTCAAACCATTCTGTGATCTTCACAGATCATGCGTCGATACGCACTGCGACACAGTCGCCTCACATCTCACAGCGTAGATCTCGTTGGCTTTCGATCTTATCTAAATGCAACTTAGAGGTGAATTATAAGCCGGGAAGCAAGATATTTTGGCCGATGCGTTGTCACGCAGACCTAATGATAAGCTTGCTCATGTTACCACTCTGTCGTCAAATATTGTGGGTCTAATTTGTGCGGCATATGCGTGTGATGAGCAATGTGTAGCATTGCTACATGCTCTTGGGAGCGAGGAATTTTGTAGACTTATAAACCAAATTTTTGGCACGTTTACATGCGAGCCTACACCGACATTTCATCGATGGTGAGTTTTTTTGCTATTGCGCGGTTGTTGAGGATGTGCCTCGCATCCTTGTTCATCATGGTGAGGACTTGAAGTATCGTATCTTCTTTAAGGCATATGCCACTTCTTTGAGCGGCCAACTCGGTCGTGAAAAGACCTAAAGCTCATTTAGCCAGACGTATGGGTAGTCCAAGTTGTACAAATGGTTGAGCACATATGTGCTTACATGTGATACGGGTCTACGGGTTAAACACTCAACACAGGCGGTTGCACTGCTTGCTAGTTTGCCTGTACCTACTGGGTGTTGCAAGCCCATGAGTATGGATTTTGCATTCGTCTTACCGAAGGATTGGGAAGGCAACACCGGTATCGCGGTCTTTTTTGATGGTTTTCTAGCAATTTGGCTCAATTAGCGGCTGTGCCGGATTACGTCAATGGTGAAGGTACAGCGAAGCTGTTTATCGATCTTGTGTTTCGACAACATGGGATGCCTGCGGCAATTGTCTCGGATCGTGTCCACGTTTCACTGGCAGGTTTTGTAGCTCCAACCTTAAAGCGCTAGGTACCAGGTTAGACATGTCCACAACGGATCAACCGCAGACCTATGATCAAACTGAGCGTTTCAAACGTGTCGTTGGTGACATCCTGCGTAAAATTTGTGCTAAAACTACAAAGCTTTGGAGCTATATTCTTCCTGTATTCGAGTTTGATTTAACAAAGCTTTCATGTCTCAACTGGATTTATTTTTAATCCGCGTGAATGGTCTCACTCAGCCCCGCGGTCCGATAATACTTCCACTACGTGGTTTTAGGCTTGATGGGGAAGATTAGCCGACGGCTTGCTGATGTCAGCCCAACTATAGTTCAGAAACGGGTGATCGAGTTTTTTTGGCTACGCGATCGAATGTGTTGCGACATGTACGTTACGCAATGGCTAATAGACAGGACAAATAAAAAGAGCAAGCTGGTGCCAAAGGAAGGAAATTTACTGAGAGTTATAAAGTTGTAGACCTGATTTTACTTAACGCTAAGCATCTACCTACCAAGGAGGTGTCAGCAATATGTGAAACCAAGTTGCGTCCTCGCTTCATTGGTCCATTTAGGGTTGTGACCAAGAAAGGCTTAGCGTACGCGCTCAACCTTACACGAAAGATGCGAACACTCAGTGTTTACGTCAGCTTGCTAAAGCCTTATCTTGATCCGTCGCTCGTGGATCACAAGGAGCTTGCGCCGCAAGAGTTAGCGATATTGCAAGTCAAGGAACCTTCAATAGAAGTACCAGTTGTCCTTTAAGACGCGTCACTTGGTCAAGACCGTGCATCTCGTACACTAATTCGTCAACGACGCCTCGTGATTCATCGATTACCGCCTGCTATCGTTGACGAGCAAAACGTTCAACAGTCCCATATTAGACGAATCTTGTAGCGACATCGTCGCGACAGTCAGTACCAGTACTTGGTACAGTGGCGAGGGCAATCGGAGTCGGAGAGCTCGTGTGAGTACGAAGTGCCACTGTGGCAGGATTGTCGGTATGCCGTTGACGTTTTTTAACAACGTCTTAATATTCAGTCGACCAGTAACGCTTCTCACTAGTTCGTGTGAAAGTGGAGCGGGATGCAGCTGCAGCAGGTGCGCTAATGCGCGGTTACATAGCTGCCGCAGTAAATCGGGTGCGATAGAACGTTTGCAGTTGGCCTTTGTTCTTTTGCTATGCGAAATCAGAGCGCATCTTTCGTTTAAGCCGAATGTCAGCAAGTTAAGCGCTCTACTGAATATTCCACAGGCTTGGTAGATGGCGAGATCTGTGAGCCAAATACATGAAGACGACATCATTTTCTCCTGCGTCTTACCAGGGAAAAATACGATGGGTACTGTCCGCACGGCAGATACTGACGCACCACATGTTTGCAGATCCAGTCTCTCGAGGTAATACACTCAACCCTCAGGTATATCGCTCTGAGAGCCTCCCATCCGCTAGTGCTGTGGCTGTGGCAGCCTTGGGTCCCGAGGCCCATGTTGCGAGTGACTACCCGGCAGTCCGACCAATGCGTTCATTCACACTCGGTTGTGTGAAGCAGTAACTACTATGAGCATACATAGTGGCTACACATTGTGTTTGATGCCTGCAATCATCGACAGACTGAAGATGTTGAGCTTATCTTCACCAATTGTGTTGTGCACCACACTTAACGTAGGATCTATGGCTGCACGCCGTGCAAAGGGTGATGGTATCTCTTTACATTCCACGAATGGACTAGGCGCGATGCGCGCGGTGTCACGTGCCGGTGGCGTAGCTGGAGGATGGTCGTAGATACTTGACGCAACGGTGCCTTTCTCATAGTCCACCATACGCTCTTCTGGAATTTTTTAGGGTAGTGAAAGAAGTCTTTGGCTCAGTCATTGTAAAAAGTGTTGTGAACACGATGCTCCGGGACAAGAGATTTGAAAGACTTCAACGAGCTGTAGAAGAACCGTGAACACAATGGTGTCGACAATTTTTTCGAGGAGGGTGTAACAGGGTTGCACGCAGTTATTGAACCGGTTTTGCTGTGTGTCGAGACCAAATAAAGATCAGTGGATCTGAGTGGTACAGTATTGGTACCACGTACTCACGGTAATGCCTCACCTTATCGAGTAAGGATAAGACTTCTGTCATAGGATCGCAATGTAGAAGTCAGCCAGACACGGTTTTAAGGTGTTGTTACCGTATTTACAGAATAAATAAAGTTTAGTTCCCCTTTTGAATCGTTAAACACAATTTCCTGATATAGGTGTAGTGTGTTGTCAAGAGTGTCAGCCTTGTGCAAGCGCTTACTCTTTTTTTGACTAGTAGAGACTAGTCAGTTTGTGATTCTGTGATTCGTATTCCCTTCGGAACCGAAATTTTTAAGCGTGTACGCTTGTACGACTATGCGTCGTTGTTAGTTTGTCATGACTAAGAGACTATCTAAGTCGGAGACTTCCTCTGTTTAAGAGCGTTAAATGGCTCCGCTACATCATTAGGATTGTAAAACCTAAAAAATGCATTTTCCACCCAGATTAACTATCTCTTGATGTACACACGTTGCCATGTATAGAAGGCCTTACAAAGGAAATTCTTCGCTCCTGCGTCATCGCATAAGACCCGCATGCGACAAGGTTATGCGTCCGTCCATACCAGAGCAAATTCAGAGACTTGTGCCTGAACGGTTATTGATGTCGACTGCCAACGTGAAATGGTATCGTTTCTCACAGCTTAGTCATATTTTGCTGCTAAGACCGTCCTAAGTCCAAGCCACTTACATCAATAAGGCCCTCATCCCACCACTCATCCCTATTTGCTCGTCACAATATGCACGTCATACAGTCTAAGAACTTTTCTTCTCTGTCACGTGGCTACAGCCAAATTGTCCTTCGAATAAAGAACAAAACCCACTACATTGCCAAATATTTCATGGGCAACTCTGTCAAGGGTGTTAAGAGCTTCACTGGGCTCGTTCTTAATTTTACAGTCCTTCCACTTTCCAAATTTTGACCGTTGCCACAGCATCTGCATCCGAGAGCAAAAAAATCCTCGTAGTAGCACTTAAGATCGGAGCTGTCACGCATCCTGTCACGCCCCTGACCTCATCGTCTCTTCACGCTTTTGACATTGGCTATCAGTAGGGAAGATCCTAAAAAGTGCTCTAACTTGTAACGATTTACCATTAGCATTTACTGGCTGGACAAATTAACGTGCAAAGTTTTTGCAGCAAGAGTGGTAAGTGAATTCACTCTAGATCTTGAAGAAGCAGCGGCTACAGATCTTGATAATGGAGCGTGTATGTATTTCTGTCCCTAACTCTAGCTTGTACGCTAAGGAAGTTTCCATAAAACCGTTTGACACTAATGCATTGCGAAGTGTCAAAATGTATAATGCGAATAAGCCTCGCGCGTGATCCATCGAAATCTGATTAGTTTTCCAAGAGATTGGCTTATTCGAGAAACGATTTTTTATTAAAGCAAATCGGTTTCCTGTATAAATGCACGATAAGTATAGTGCACTTGTGTCTGAGGTACTATAATGAAACGAAAAGAATTTAGGGTGATTTGAGTGATAAAACTCATTCTGATGGATACCTAGAGTAACATCTGCCATAGCTGCGAAGGTTTTCACTCAGATTTGAGTATAAATGTTAAGAGAAGTTAAAAATGATAGAGCGTTAGTATTGTAATGATCTTTTTCGATGAATTAAGCAACTCTGGCATTATTTATTACTTGAGCCCCGTATTCCTATTATGCAACTGCCTTCTCCGTTTTATATAGCAGCATATCCTCAATGAGTTTGATACTATGTTCAGCATCAGCCTGAACTGAGCTTCTTAAATATTAAGCACCATACTTGTTCATCTTGAGATATTAACTTGAGCCCATCGCAAGCAAAAAGAGCCCGGAATCGAGGCTATGCTGTATACATGCCTCTCTTATTTGATAGAAGACGCTCACCGTAAATTATGAAGATATGAAGCTCGTTCTGTACTGGAAGCATTCGATTCGATTACCCACTAAAGGACATAACGATGTCCTCATCTAGTCAAAAGCTTTAGAAACACATCAGACTTAACCTTAATGTTTTTTTCATTAAAAAAATCTTATTTCGTATTTTGCGTTCAAGCAACAAAGCTTACATGTTTTATACAGCCAAAAAACCTGAGCAGCGAACAGGCGCTTTGCGGAGAGTCCAATGTTGATCATGTGTTTTCTTGTTCTGTCTAAACATGGACCTAACGATCAGAAACTAATTAAGCTGAACCGGAAAACTAATAGGTCTGTTAACTTTGTAAGAGGTATAACAACGACACATTCATGCTACTAAAACCATTATTGCAACTTAGATATCGCACGCCTTTCTAAACTGAATTTTATTAAGCAGCTATTTTTTTCTGAATAATGTACCTATGTTCCCGTTTTACTATAACACTTTTAATAAAGGGTCTTGTGTCGCCGGGATAATTATCGTCCACTTTAAACAGTGCTATCGAATTGGATATCAATAAAAATGACTAAACGCTTCTTAACGTATTAGCGGCGGGTGACTGGACATTCATTCCCTATGTTTCATGGTCTTTGTCTATAATTAAGCAAATTTTAGTTTCGCAAAGTTTGCCCTTTCTACAAGATAAAATAAAAAAGCAAACAGGATGATCACGCAAGCTAGTCATTGTGTGACGAGCTCTCTTTAAGTAATTCGTTTAACAATGGCTTATTATATGCATACATCACCTACTTTGATAACCATCCTCCTTTTTCTCACAGTAGAACCCTTTTTTGGTCAGAATGCAATAACGTATCATAATTTAACACATTTTTACAACAACCAAGTGCACACCGCCTTTTTCCATCAAACCACAATAAACAAGCTTGCACCCTTCAGCAACTTGCGCAGCTGCAAGAATTTGTTCACTTCCACAGATTCTAAAAAATTTGGACTTCAGGATCTACAGTCGTCGGTATGTTACTAGTACAGTAAAATGTAATGCTGCTGCGCTGTTCCTCGTAGATATCAGGTGTGGGTAATGTATTCTGTTTCTTGGCACTCCCGCAATCTTTGGAGCCGCACTGGAGCGTCCGAAGCCCCAGTCTCATGCTTAATTTTGTAGTGGAAGTCGCCATGACGACCCTGTTGCCGACAACGCGATTGCACTCACACAGGGTCAAAAGTGCCACCCCCTGGGACTGAAAAATATGTTTAAGTATCACAGTGTTGCAATGTCTTAAAACATCGACATGCTTATCGTTGATCTCTTGAAGTTTTATCTGTATTTTAATAGGGGTGGTCTTACCTCGACATCCATTGGCGTGGCTAGATTATCCATCAATGCTAATCCAATTTATTACCTAACAGTGGTTTGACTCAATGAAAAGAGTATGGGCACAAGAATATCCCATTGGATACGTCAACAAACCTAACAGTACGAGTTAGTTGTCTGTTACAGTTAGTCTGTGCAAAACCGTCGATGACTAAATATATTGACAATCCTCACGAGCTTCAAACTTCTGCCGAGACTGTACATGCGCAGCATACGCACCTGCTAGCGAAAGTTTCTTATAATTAGTAAGATTATCGACGATCTAAGTATTTACGATGGTATGCTACCTTGCAATTTGGTGCAAGACTTCTGCAAGCTGACGTTTGCAAGCAAGTCGAACTTTTCGATGCACCGTAAATTTATTACCCACAACCAAGTTATTGTTAGATAGACAGAAAAGATAACCATCAACTGATCATACGTCTTACCTGGTAACACTAAGAGCCATTTTTTGAGATCACCATGGGCACTCTCCACCAGCGACGTTGTTATGTGGCTGAAGTGGCGCTTGTCACAAGAATTTATGCGACGGGAAGCTCCTCATTCACAAGTGAAGTGAATTTATCGGAGCATATTGAGAATATGGCAAAGTCAACATGCTTTGAATCCAGTTGCGTTGCACTTTATACTGTAGTTGTAGCAGCAACCAGTCTGTGCAAACCTTTGTTGAACTTTATAGGTCTTTAGTGCTTCAAAATTTGTCCTTTACCTTGCCAAAATGTTTTCGTGACATTATAGTAGCTTTTCAAGATACGTGCTTTCAAGTATATCTCTGCGAATGCGTTCATTGGCGCAAGCTCTCCATCATTGACGAAGGATAAGTGCTGAGCGTTGTCCGTATGACTAAAAAGATCTCGAACATGACGCATTGTCGACTGAAAACCAGCCGATGTCTCTGTTTCAATCTCCGTGTTGCGTCAAACTTCTAGCTAGCACTGTGCTCCTGATTAAAGGATAACACCAGAAATAGATACCCTGAATCACAAAGATACGTATCCCCTAGCTTAGCTCTCTCTGTGTGTGGGGAGTTTTGTCTTGCACCTTGCACTTTTTCGACTGAGCTTTTCATGCATGCTGTTGCCGCTAACCTGCGAACCTCTACCTTCGTTTTTTGGCTCGTCCATTCGTCGACTCGTCCTGTTCTGATATCCGCCTTGTCCCACGACCCGAAATTCAACCAACAATTACGAATCTTGTGATCTTGAGATGTTTTTATGGCTTCAAGTTGGGAACGTATTACTAGTTGAAATCG